ACCTGCGTTGAAACATAGTCAAATTCGAATATAACATGTCTGATTGTGGCCCAGAAGACAATGGCCCAATGTGACAGAACTAAAAGCGGCAACTAGTTCAGCAAGGTACTATTTCCTGCTGGTCGACATGAAATTTGGCTTAAATGGCCCGGATCGACATGACAAGCAATTCAAGCATTGTTTTCAGCTGGACAGTGTGTATGGAAGCTACAGGGAAAAGACGGAAGAATGAAACTCTAATGAATCGGTTCAAATTTCGGATCAGTGTGTAAAAGAATTCGCTGTTTGAATGGAAACGGCATTCGGGAGGGACAAAATGAACAAAGTCTCAGAAAGCAAAGCATACAGGAAATGGAACATGAAATGGAACAAAACAACAGATATGTAATTGACCCATTTTTCGAAGCGGGTACATTTTCTGATTCTACTGTTAGCGGTAGCAAAGACAAGAAGAAAAGCATTTATTGTGCACCGATGCGATATTGCAGTCGAACTGTCATCGTTCTTCATCAGGGCGTACTTGAATGTACCTATTTCCCACCCACGGAACGGAATCGGTATTTGTTTAAGAAGTTGCGTGTGATTCGGAATTCGTTTGTTTCTGTAGTAAGAAGCGGAAGCCTTGGTTTCCTTCGATCCAATCAAGTCCAGGCTGTGTTCTTCTTAAATTTATGTTACTTTCTTTCGTCGAAGAATTCGAACGTTAATCATGAGGTTCATGAGTCCGGAGTTCAAATAGTCGAGTAGGCCTGATGTTCAGACGCTGCATCTCGAGACAGAAGTCACAGCTGCAATGGTTGTGCGCATTTTGTGAATGCTTTCCAAAAGGAAGGCAAACAGTTATTACTCGCCCAACAGACCTGCCGAAAACCCTGGGAAGTTTCGGACCTCGATGGTTTGTGCCCCAGACTCAGGTTACCTTCTGAAGAAGTTCAGACGCTGCCACAAGATCGTGAATATTGGCGACCCTGTGTGACGCTGCTGAATCCACAACCTGAAAGGATAAGCGGTCATCAAAACTGGCTAACTGACTATCCGTCATTTAATGCTAGACAAACTGAGTTTACTGGCATCCAGGATTTTATCTGTAGAAATGTGACAACTGACTCGTTAATCGACTGCTGTAGTTTTAGTGTGTTGCAAGAACTACATCCGTAGCAGAACAGAGTTGATCAACGTTTGGAATGGTTTTCATTCATCTAATACCATTCCTTTGTCTTAGAATAGACGACGTCATGCACTCCTAAACTTTTCTATGAAAAGTTCACATATAGCGTGTACCCCAGCTATAAATGGTCCTAGCATCCCATTATTACTGCTACCTCTTCAGTCGACTATTTTTGACTTTCTTATAAGCATTCATGGCCAGCGTATCCACTGTAAACAGTGGAATAATTGTGCGTCTTTATACATTGCCCTCATGATTTCGAGTTCGGACGTTACTCGTCGTCCAGAACATAATAATTAAAATTGCTATTTTCAGGGCTCTGCTTAACAAGAACATTAACAACATTATATCATACAAAATGATGAACAGTGAAACGTAGTGGATCGACACATCACATTCCACAAGTTTGTACATGTGATGAGAGTAAAGTAATGTTATGTGATAACTTATGAAAAGAATGATTGCAGCAAGTGATTATCACACCTCTTGGACGATTTGCTGTCTGAAGGCATTACCTACAGCAGCTTATGGGTCTTTCAAAGTTGATTCGAAATCTGCCTCCAAGTTCTTTAGCTCCAAATGTTTAGAACAGGTTTGAAGCTGTGAATTTTAAAGTGTTCACAGAATTTCTTCAGTAAAATTGGGGTGTTTTATTTGCCATCACTGTGAGCATTGAGACTCAACAAGCCGGAGTGTCCATTATTGCCTTAACTGCCGAAGCTGCTAAAAAACTGTGCGGACTGTTTCATAGCTGGAAACGTGATGTTCAGGTTCTTTTCATATTGCGTTCCGTATGAAAATGCAAGAAAAAATTCTAATTTCTAATGAGTACCAAGCCTTTCACGTTCGTTATGAGGTATAGTGAACAGTAGTTGCAGTAAGTTCAATTTCATTATTCTAACACACTAGCAGATTTACAACTGAAGGATCAAACTCCCAACTCGTGATTATCCCATGCTCAGTTTTCTGTTTGTTTTCTCATCACCGTTACTAGCCAGTTAGCAGACGGCAGACCGGCTACGATTGATTTACTGCTGCTTGCTTGGCTCAGCGCTTCGCATTTTGATATCAATAGGCGCTTATTTATATTCACGTTGATGAAGGAAAGATCCTCGTCGAGAAACGGTCTTCATTTAGTTTCCCATTGTTTTGCGATGAACATGCTGCTGGCCTTTTCATCGGACACGTCTAGCTGGGTTCCTACGTTGGCAGCTGATGGATCACTGAAGACCGGCTGCCTGCCTGCGAACGATTGGGTTGAGTCAGAATTGTGTCCCTGAGCACCGTGGTATGTCGTCCGGAACGGATTCGTTTCTCGTCAGGTCATACTAGCCGATCTACGGCCGAATATGTTGTTGTAACCGGCGCTGTTTGAGGTTACTCTTCGGTCCCTGATTGGGTGTTCTTGTAAGAGCGGTGGTGTGGTGGCACCGAGACTACGAGCTCGGCTTCTAACTCCGGAGGTGGCAGGTTCGATTCCGATGGAGGACGTCTTTGTCGTAGACACGAATTTCCTTCAGCAACGCATTTACCACGCGTTGTTTCTGGATTTGAGAACCGGTAGGAGTGTTACTTTTCTTCTGAGGTTGATAAATGACCATCCCTCTGTGGGAAAGGAAGGTTAGTCGCCGTTGGAATGTCGGTCTTAGTTTTCATGATCGGGCCATTTTGGCGCGCGCCTTTGTTTTCATGCGACGTGGATTTCCGTATGTATGTATCCGCCTGGCGGTTCTGAGTTCGTCGTTCTACCGCGTGAGCAACCGCCGGTCCGAAGCCATGTGTGGCAAAGTCCTTGTGAATGAGGCAAACATTGCCGACAAGGTAAATCGAACCTGGCACCTGCGTAAATCGACGTGCCTCTTAGAGTACTGTGCCATCACGACATTTTGTGGGAAGGCGCTCCTGTCTGATGACAGTGAAATAAAGGTCAACGTTCCCACGATTAACTTCCTTGAAAAATGTGGTGTCAGAATGATCCCGTTAAAAACGTGTTTCCTTTTCTTTTCCTTGTCAGAGCAGGCGTTTCTGATCCGTAGTGCAAGCCCAGCGGAACTTCAGCACAGTCAAGACGAATCTTAGTGATGATCTTCATTCACTTTTTAATTCAGCTTTTCGAGATGCTTTGAAGTTGTAGGCAGCCAGCACAAGACTCCTGTTCGAATCTTGATTATAACCCGACGACCTTCTACTCATTTTTGATTGGCTAATTCACAGCTTATGGCGTTTGGTCTTATGCTTTAAAAAGTGCAAATATCTTTACGTCATTCGTGAACTTGACATAGAGAGAAAATCCGCACTGGAGAAAATGAAGTCATTCAAATCTGTTATTGTCGCTGACAGCTGTGTGTTTGATCGATTCCTCATGCTCTTAACTAACTTTTCCTCCTTCCTCTTCATGCGCTGTTGCATAACTTAACTTCTTACCTCTAATGAGAATGGCTGTGTATTTAGTTTTTAGTCACACAGCGTTCAAATTAGTCCTTCATTACAAGGCCGTGCAAATTTTCCATGACTATTCAACGATTTCTTACTGTCTGCAGTAACACGTTCTCTACAAGTGCGTACCCTCGTTTTGCTTTAAAATGTCGGACAGTAATTCATGAAGAAGATACGACAGCTATAATGAAATTTTAAATTGTGACTAACTGTTTTCTAGCAGTCTCAAGAGAGTGCATAAAACCCGACAGTATTGGGGAGCATGACGTATACTGTTCCTCAAAACTGAGTCTTCTCGTCGAGTCCTCTGTGACTAAAGCCATGGTTTTCAATGTTTCTTTGGCCAGTAGACTGAAAGTCATATATCGCAATGTACTCTTAACCATGGTATACCAGATATATCTCAGAAGGACTAAGGTTTATCGATCGTAATTGGCGATAATTGATAAAGTAGTGACAAACTTCGTCTTGTGGTTGGATTTCAGTACTGAATTTTGTTTTTACTGACTAGTGGCATCAGAGATGGTAAAAGTTTGGAAGAACAGGCGGTGGTGAATGATGGAAAATGTCATGCGCATGTTTAGAAGTCATGCGCATGCGGGAAACCGGAGCCTCTTCAAGGTATTGAAAGTTCGCACGTAAGCAATTATCTATAAAATCAAGCATGTAAATTAAATGAGCATTTTTGGCATGATAGTATCGTGCAAACAAAATGTGGAGGAGGTCGACGCTATTAGCAAACCCCTGCTTAAGAAAAGATAGGAAAGGAAGAAGTCAGCGTGCAGACAAATCACTCAAAATGGCTGATCACTCCTGATTTGCTCTGTGATAAGTTATTGATTGAAACGAAAAATTTTCGATTAGTGTCTGCTCCGTAAGCTGAAAGCTATTCATAAGCTACAGACCATGCTGCAACGCAGCACGAAGGATGTTATGTTGGAAATAAGAGGAAAAAATAGGATGTCGAGTTAATATGTAAGAGCACAAATATGAGTCTGCCTTGTGATTATCATAGCGAAGGTGCTGAAGTGACACGTTTCAAGAACAACTGACCAGAAGTCGACTAGGGGGACATTGAATTGGATTCCACGATAAAGGGAAAAGTGTCTTGGTCGACCTTCGTCCGGCAGTGAATCGAAAAATGCTAATGACGATGGTAAAATTATTGATTGTGCATTATAAGCAGCTTTGTACTAGTGAAAATTACTTAGAGACTTCGTCTGTGAGTTATGAATATTTTTCTTGGCTACGAGGAAGCATCGCTCTCCAAAAAATGTATACGTCAAAATAATCAGATGCATAAACGAATAACGGGATATAAGTTAGCATATTTTATGCAAGTCGTTATGTTTGGGTTGTGTAAAGTAAGAAAGGTTATGTTATATGGAGCTTTTGCCTACAGACTACGGATCAGAAATCTACAGATCGAAAAGTCGAAGTCGACAAGTTGTGCGTTAAGCAAGAGCGGGTGGCAGCAAGGCGCCGTCGACGAAAGAATCGATGTGTTGTCAGCGACGGAATGTTTTTTCCGCGACACATCGATCGTCTGGTCTGGTTTCAATTTGGCCTTTCTTTCGTTGGGCTGAGATGAGTAGCGAAGTTTAGCTAATCACTTTTTCGCATTTTTCTACGTTTTATCGACTCACGCTAACTTGATTATGCGTCTGTCGTCTGCGAGGAAGTTCCTCGTCCTCGGCTGAGGCAGCAGCTGCCGGCCGGCCGGCCGACCGACCGACCGTTTGCCGTAGGCGTTTCTCGGAGGACACCTTCAGATGGCTGTCGAGAGCTGCGAGCACGTGGCATCCTGGTGGTCCTGCTGGACGGAGTTCCCCGGCAACAGTGCAACAACGTGGACCGAAAACTGCTTGCTGAACGATATTAGTTTCCAAGATCAACTGGCTAGACTGATAGATGTCCAAGTGACAGGGGAGGCATTTGCTGACAAATCTTTTCCTACATGAAAACAGCTCGGCTACATTTCCTGAGTGCAGCAGATGCGGAATGTAAAACATTTATTTCTAAGATCAGTGCACAGTAACCGAATACATAATAAAATAAATATAATAAATTCGTATTATAAACTCGAACGGTAGGGCGCCGGCCACTGTCCGTTTAAGTAATCACCCAACAATATACATTAATCACTGTGTATCCCTCGCCGGTCGTCTTGCCTCCGATGGAGGAGGACTTGCGTGCTGACTGTTGGACGAGACAGAAACAAGGACCGAGCAGCGTTTGATGGATGACGTCTCGCTGTGGAAGGGAAATAACGTCGTCGAACCACTTCGATGAGGTCAAGGCCTGCAGGTCTGACGTAGTACAGACACAGTCACGGGTTGTATTATACTCT